GCTGTAAAATACAAAACTGTTAACTAATTCGTTCATTTAAGCTGTTTTTACATCCGAAGTTATTAAACATGTTGTTTGTGCTAATCGATACTCAATGCAAATGGAAACTTCGACTACAAAATACGATTTTAAGTATAAATGGTTTCTATTCATATATATAATAAAAAGCAACAAAAATATAAAAAACCATGCAAAATTGATCAATATATCCATTTGAAGCAATAAATCCAAAAATAAAAAAAATGTAGATATTTTCTTAAGAAACAAAAAGCAAGTTTTTTTTGAGATAAAATAAAATATAAACTTTAAAAAAAATTACAAAAAAAAATATTATATTCAACAAAAAGTAACAAAAATACTTGAAAAACATAAATTATTTACTTTATATAAAACATATATATTAACATATAGGAAATAACACATTACAATTTTACAGGAAATTTACGGCGTTTAAGAGTAAAAAGTAAATTTGAATCAGATTGTTTTAACTGAACTCGAGGAACAAATACCCTCTTGCCAACTGAAACACCTGTTAGAACTTGCCCATCAATGTAATTAATTTGTACGCACCATCAATCGGGTACCATTGCAAAGTCCAGCTTTAAGATCTAAATTTCAAAGTAACATTATATCAGCACCAATTTTTAGTTTTAGGCAATAAACAGGCATTCCCGATGGAGTAAGACTGTTTAAAAACTCAACAGGAAAATTGTTGCTCTCGTTAAGATCATCTGCTTCAATAGCAATTGCACTTAGATAAACTTTTACATCGACTGGTAAACGATCCAAAACTTCTTCATTTATTGCTAATGAATCTACATTAGTGGGTGTCAAAATGGCACGTTTTGCATAACCATCTTCTTCTGCAATTCCAAAAATCTTGTCTACTATAAATTCCTGTGCTTCAAGAAAGCACTGCTCAGGAATTTCAATGCACCCGCAAAAAGAAACATCTGCTTTTAACGGTAATGTTCCACTACCAAATTTTAAAAGAGAATTCATTGAGAGAATTTCTCCTCATCGGCCCGAACTCTCATATTTTCTGTTAATGAAAATTGCTGAACATATTGCCAATGTTAGAAAATTTTATACAGACTTTAACAATATCTGCTGGTTGCCCTCTCTTTACTACCAGAAGTATTTGCAGGCTTCAACATTTATGTGCGCTTGATATTTTTTAGAAAGCCATGGGTTATAAGGTACATTCTAACGGCTATCAGCTTGATTGCCTTTTATATTGACAATTCTTCCATTATCAACACGTCTATAGTGTGGATAACCATTAAAAATTGCAACAGTGTGGGAATTAAATTCTTCAGGAAATTTTTTGGTGCATTGCCCATATTTTATGCAGGGAGAATCGGGATTTAAAATTCCACATGTTCCATGTATCATGCACGATTTTATAACTGATTTTTTAGGCTGGGTCTGGAATTTCTTCTGATATCAAACTGTCAATATCTTCTGCTGTTTCTAGCTTATCTGGATTTACAAAGTGCAATAAAATATGTACATGTGGCAAACCACGCTTTTGAAACTCAATAACCTGCACATGACTTACAACTTTGCCAAGACTCCATGCTTAAAAAAATATCTTCTAAAAAAAGTTTTAGTTTTATTTTAAATACCCGACAAACTAAATCAGGTCTGTCATTGGCAGTTTGGCCAGGGTTTAAATTTTTTACTATTTTTCTCCATTATGGATTGCAGGTAAAAGTAATGAACAGATCTGATTTACCATATTTCTTTATGATTGTCATCGCATCTTCAAAGTTTTCTTTTAGTGCTCTTGGACTACCAACATATGAAGAAGGTAGTATAACAACGCGGCCTGGTCTTACATTAAGATCATTAACACGATTAATTACATGTTCATGCAATGCATCATATTGTTTACTTCTAATTTTGTTTTGGTTATTTCTAATAAAAGCGCTGTCCTTTAACTTTGACATATGCATCAACAACGTATTGCTGAAAAAGTTTCTTACCATAGAATATAGGACTAAAAGTTTGTCTAAACGCAAGACTATAATTATAATAGAGACAAAGTAACATGGTTTCTAAAACAGGTCGCGCGGTCAGGGTTGTGCTCCAGTTGATTGTGCCATCCAGCATCACCTCTCGGGAAAAATATTGGATATACTATTGGATCTTAATTTGCAGACATAGACGAAATTGTTTTCAAAGGCTGACCTCGAGGGTATATAACAATTTTCCTGGAGGCAGGTGGAGAACCATTATCTCCCACAAACACAGTAGCAACGTCTTCATTGAAAGGAAGATTGTATCAACGTCTATTATGACCTTCAAGTAAAGACATTCTTACAACAGAAGTTGGTCTATCTTCTAAAGCTGCTCGGCGGATTTGTTCATCCTCTACTTCTGCCATGTTTTAGAATGCAAGAGCAAATGGGTTTTCCTGATTAATTAATGTTTGCAAAAGTTGCATTAACTCACGTATACAACCACCATTTCCAGGTTGCTCCATTCTGAATGACACTGCTGCATTAAGATCATAGATATATAACTCACAATATTTGGGAAAATTCTGCAGGCCTCAATTTCATACATGATGCCAAAATTTGAAAACAGACCCTAAAACAGAAAGGGAGATTATTTGAGGGAGGAGCTAATTCGGCAGTGAAGGAAGCAAAATATAAAGAGGAATTATAACTCCTTATGTGTTTAAAATTTTTTGATTTACAGCATGATCTACATGATTTCCTGTCATTAAATCAGTCAACCATGGTGGATATAGAGAAAGAAGAGCTAATACAACTTTTCCTGAATGGCAGCACAAAAATTGAGTTTCATATAAAAATTTCTTCACACTGCAATACTGACAATTATGATTAAATTCTCCGAGGTAATTACTCTCTGTAGCAATATTATTTCTTGCTATGCGATGCATATTATACTTATTGAGTTCTTTTTGACGAAGTCTAATAATTTCATTTCCTAAATTATCAGACATGATCAAGCATCAAAGGTGTGTAAAAATAATGCCTAATATAATAAAAAGTTATGTTTTCTTTTTTAAACTATTCTAAAAATAATTCTAAGTAAATAATATAGAGCATAATATAATAATCTTTTATATTCTACCATACATGGCAATGTGTTAAGATAACATACTTTTACTAAAAGGTTAAACTAAAGTTATAAATAAACTAATATTATCTTTTTAAAAATATCACCAATAGATCTGACCAGTTTGAAATCCTTTCACGTAGTTCATCCAACATTTCTTTATGCAAGAATAAGATGCTAAATATCAAAATACTTTTCAATTAAATATGAGTTTTATATATATAAACTCATTTAACATATAATTACTGACTTTTATAAATTCATAATAAGATTTTAACTCTTTTGCATCAAAACACGTTGCTAATTATACATTTATACATCTTTGTTACATATTTAAGTTTATTGTTATTAATTTTTGATAAAATGTTGAGTATATATATACATACATATATATATATATATATATATACATATATATACATATATATATATATATCTTTTACATAAATTTACCCAAAAAGTAACAGTATAAAAATTATTTAATGTATAATATCTGTTCAATAAAAATTAATTAAAATTATAAATATTAGGAAAATTATTATAGATAATAAAAAACTATATATGTGTCAACATTTCTTATAAACACATTTTTTCAACAATTTTTTTAAGCACTTTTTATGACTACGCTAACTACAAACAGATTTAATTTATGTATTACATCATAACAGTACTGCTACTGTTTGGCGTGAACACGCCGAACATGCCAGTAAAGTGGTGTACTGCAGTACACCACTTAACTGGCGTGGACAACATTCTTGCTCCCAACAAAGCCAAGTCACATTATAGCAAAGTACACCACTTGGCTAGCAAAATTAACGCTCTTGCTGTAAACCAAGCCAAGTCACAACAATTTGAAAAGATAGTAACAAACACATAAATGATATTTACACACTTACAAAATAAAAATCTATATAACCTTAAGACATAAACATAAATAACACATAAACATAAACTAATCTATATAAAAATATATAAATCAAGAAAAATATATAATTTAGAAACTTTACAAATACAACCTTGTTTTTATTTAATGACATACCTCGTATAATAAATGTTTAACAACTTGGAAAAGATCTGGTTTTTTATATAAAAGCAAACAGATTTTTTTTTAACTTTTTAAAAAATAAGGTGTTTAGCGTTGTCCTAACTTGTTCTTTTTAACATGTAACTGTGTGGGATGCAATATATATATACATATATACAACACTAACTTTATCAAGAGTTTGACTTCTTGAAAAGAGCGTTGTCTTTTAGAGTCACCATCGTCTTTTAATTAAAAGATTAAAATTATTACTAATTATTACTTGTTACTAATTAAGTTGAATTAGCAAAGTTTTCGAACTTACTACTGATTAAATAGAAATTAACAGATTCAAGAGTACCTCATCACGTGGTCAAAAAGAGAAATATCTAAAAGACCAAGCATGCTCTTAAAACTCCTTGTAAAAACGCGAACGAATGGTGAGCACTCATCGGAAGCGTTAAGATAATAATATTTATAGATAAGTATAAATGTAAAAAAATTTTCGCGCAGTTTCTTAAGTCAAATATATTTGATCACGCGATAATAATATGCAAGTAGTTTTTGTACATAAGAACAATTTCATTTTTTTTTTCGGTTACCTACAAAATAATCTATATAACAACAATAAATTTGACATAAAACGTTTAGTTTTTTTTCTATGACTTTTAATTTTATAGACACTTTTTAACCTTCTTTTAGCCAAAGTGGTACATTTCACTTCGTTTAAAAAAGTTCAGGATAAGTTTGGCAAAATTAGTTAGAACTTGAACAAGCCATTCACATTGATTTTTACGTGAACAAAAAGACAAATTATTTTTACTTAAGCTTGTTCGTAAAGCGTAAATCTTAAAAGATAATAATTTTTTTTTTTTAATTTTAATTTTAGGTTTTAAAATCTATTTATATTTTGATTAGTTGCAAGCATCTTAATGGAGGTATTATGATTTCTAACTTATTGTTTAAAATTTTAATATAATTTTAAAAGTTTATTACATTTTAAAATATAGACTTATTCTTCTTTTAAGACTTTTAAAAAATGTTTTTTTTTAAACTTTTAAATCCTAGACTTAATCTTTTTTAAGTATATTAATATTTAGAAAAACACGCACTGTTTTTTTGTTTTGTTTTGTTACAACCCTATATAGATTTGTTATTCATCTTAGATATACTCTACTATATTGAGCCTTATGGTCTTCCAAATTGTTATTTTGACATTCCTATTGGTTCGATTAAGGTTTCTTATAATTGCAGTGAAGGACACAAGTTTTTGCTAGTGCCTGGTGACCGTTTTATTATTATTAGTTTATTATTTGTATAAAATTATAGTTACTGTTTGTATATTATTTTTTTTTAATATATTGCCAAATGCTTAAAAATCATTTTTAGCAAATATCTAGTATATTAAATTATAAATTAAAATAATATTTTATGTTATTTAAATATAGGCATGAAAGTTGAAATAAGAAGAAAAAAAGATTTTTAAGTTTCTTTTAGTAGTCCGCAAAAGCCCAAAACAAGAAACTGAGACATGTAATAAAGTAACAGCATTTAATTACTTATCAACATTTGATTCCTTATTTTTTCCGCTAGATTGTCAAATAATTCGAATTGACAAATAAATAGCATCTTACAATCGCCATATAACTAATTTTTAATCCAGTTCAATAAAAAAGTTGTTTGATTGACAACTAAATTTAATAAATTTAAAAAAAGGAACTGAAAACTAGCCTATATTAACACTCCATAATAAGTTAGAAGTAAACAAACCAGGAAAAAAAGTTCAATAAAACTTTATATAAACTTTTGAAACATATGGCTTATAAAAATTCTAAAAAATTCTATAGAATTTCTATACAGTTTCTGTTGACTTCTGTAAAAGTTTCTATTGAGTTTTTTGTTTTTACTTTTTTTTTATAGAAAAAAAAGTTTAATAGCAATTGCTATAGAAATTAATAGACATTCTATAGAAATTCTATAGAGTTTTTATAGGCCATATGTTTCAAAAGTTTATAGAAAACTCTATAGGACTTTTTTCCTTGAAAGACATTTGAAGGAAAAAAAAAAACAGCAAAAAAAGACAAAATTTGCAAATAAAAAAAAACTCACCTAACAGATTGTTCATCATTCATATAATAATTTGGCTTATACATTCAAAGCAGTTATTTTGATGAAACTTTCTGCTCATTAAAAAAATGGTTAAAGTATGAAGTAACAATTTTGAATCACAGTCGTTAGTTGACATTGTTGGGTCAAATATGTGAAATCCGTATTAGATAAATGAAGTAAATTTTTTCAGATATAAATGAATTCCTAAATTTAACTACGGTAATTTTAGGCAAAAATTTGCACAGGTTTGAAATACTATATGTTTTTGTTTTTACCGCGTATCTTTTGACATGGTTATTTTGTTATGGTGCAATAGTTGAATTGTTACCAAAAAACACATTTCGAAAACTAAATATACATTTACTTTAGGTTATGTTGTTTATAACAAGAAAAAGTATTTGAGTGCAAAATTTTTAGGTAATGCTTTAACAAAACTTGCCAATAATAAATATAAATATGCGTTTTTATACTTCAATAATTATGCGCTTCAATTGGCAAACAGTTTATCTACAAACCTTACTTAGATTTTGTCTAATAAAAGAACGTTGCAAAAAGTGATACAACGAGTGTCTTAAAAAAGTAGATTATAACCCCAACAGCATTTAGAGATTCAGACTGAAATTCTTTGGCTGTTTAGTTTAATTAAATACCTATTTGTGCATGGTCCATGCATGCCAGCTATTTTTTGGCCGTTCTTTACTAGTTGCTTCATTTTTATGTAATTTTTGTTCATTTTGTTTGTTATTCACGCTGCTATTTTCAACAACAACCAGTACTTAAACAAATCAAAGAAACTATCTTAAAAGGGTGACTTAAAGAAAACCTAAACCTCAAGACCAAGGTATAATAAGTTGACGGTTACTTCCCGAAAAAAGCATGCAAATAAAAAAATAAAAGCTGGCTGTTTTAAATTTTTAAAAATAAAAAAGTTTATTTAAATACATATCACATATAGTATATGTCATTCATAGATGTTCATTTTAGTAGATACATCACATATAGTAAATATTATTCATAAAAGTTTATTACCCAGTGAGCATAAGAACGTTTTGCGAACGATTTTTTAATAATCCCGTAAAAACGTTTGTTATTGTTTTTTTAAACGTCCATATGAAACGGTGAACAGACGTTTTTCGAAAATCTTTTATTATTGGTTTATATAAAATCTAAAACGTTTTATCTTTTTTAACGTTGTCCCTTAAAATCTATTTTACCTATAAGTTTTTTTAAGTAAAAAACTTATGTTAAACAAAAAAAAACGTGATAGCCTTCATCCGAATAAATAACTAAAAATGTAAACTTTTTGTGTTTATTTACATTTTGAGCATATAAAAACATAATAAAATAATTTTTATTCTACTCTATTAAAAGCTCTCTTCAAACGATTGTCAATCAACTTATCGACCAAATCGAATTTTACTGTATGTGACACTAATGTTCTTAAAAGAAAAATACCATAGAAATCTTCTATGCATTTTACTAGCATATAAAAATATGCATCAAAATGTAAATAAGAAGAAGAAAAACTAAGTAATGTAAAACTTTACATGGTATGTAAAAAGAACAAACTAAACAACATGCACACCACATTTATTTAAAAATTTTCTATAGTTATTTTACAGAATGAAGTTTTCTTATTTAATCATCTATTTCCATTCAGCTCCAGCTTTCTTAAACAATGCTGTAATACATTTTGACAATTTTATCCAAAACATTATTATCAGAAGTTGAAGAAGACCTTTAAAAATGACACAGTTCAAACACACTTTGTTTTGTTTAGGATAAATTTATACATAAATATTAACAAGAATACAATAACAAAAAAAAACTTTATTTTATTACTTAAAATTATTTCACTTTCATAAAACCTTTTTGTATCATTTACTTTATCTTAAAAGAAATGAATCTTCAAACGTAGTCTTTTTCCACAGAATATACACCGCAGAAAATTTTTTTTTGATTTCAGACTTAAGACATGGTAATTCCATAAATAATGCATATTAAAAACCTATTATTTAAAAAAAAATTAGAGCAAATTAAAATATTAATGAAAAACCGTTTATGAAAACTGAACTAAATACCATAACATCTTTTGAAAAATGAAAAAAGACAACATTTCTTAACATACGTGTTCCACTTTTAGGCCTAAAACTTAGCGGCAGTTTATCATAACAACAAAGTGCATTGATACTTCTCTGGAAGGCTTTTTTTGACTTGTTAAAGAGATATACTATTTATGAACTTTTAAAAATGCATGCACATATTTATCATTTTGAAAATTTTTTTCTGGATTCATTTGGCATAAAATGTTAAATAAAAAAAATGAACTTACATTTGGTATCTTTTTGCATTGACTCGCTTTTCCAATGTGCAAACAATAATAATATGTTGTACTTTTCGTTCTAAAATTGATGATAAAAAACAAATACAAAAGATTGCACATTTATATCTATTATAAAGACTTACATTGAAGTATTTATTTGAGAATATTTGATAAAACACAAATTTTGAAATATTATTAAAAAGTTTGCAAGCATGAGCTGAATTTAAAAATACCAGCCTGATAATTGAATTTATGACCTTGAAGACTCTGAATCACTACGTGTCTGCATCTTAGATCTCTTTAATTCTTTAGTCAAGATTTAGGTTTGTCAACATTTATATTTCTGTGTAAGTTAAAGTGAATATTTTTGTATTTTTTACCTAATGTACAGTTGCTTTATAAATTTTTTTTATGATCAACGAGTGTTACTACTGAATAGAGTCGGCCGGTTAAACTGAAAAAAATCATGGCTCAATATTATGTATACAAAGTCAATTCGACTAAAAGTTCTTCTTGTATAAATAATACATTTACTTGTATAAATAAAGCATTTGCTAGCTGAAGTAGAAATAATCATATAGACATAGCTTTTTACATTCATTAAAAGATTTATATATGTAATGTTTTTTAACCTAAACTTACTTTGTTTTAGGTTATGATCATTTCATTTTAACTATACTTGCATCTTTATTATCCATAATTGAGAATGGTACTATAACTTTTTCAGTATATCTAAAAAATAATTTTACATTAAAAAAAAATTATAAACAATATACAAACATAACGAGTTCTTGAATCGTTTTTAATGCATATATGTAATTCAAAACGGTACCTTTCAGTTATGTCTTTTCATCTTTTGAAATAATTCTTTTTTTTTTACCTTTATATATATATATATATATATATATATATATATATATATATATATATATATATATATATATATATATATATATATATATATATATATATATATATATATATATATATATATATATATATATATATATATATATATATATATATATATATAATTAAAGGTAAGAAACAAAGAATTATTTGGATAAAAAGTATTCCGAACTCTAACCTTTTAGTTTTAGTTGAAACTGTTATTTGCCAATTACATTGGCCTACAATTTTTGAAAAAGTTACTGTTTTAGGAAAACAAAGACCAAAAATGCCACTATCTGTTTTGCCAGGAACACCTATAAGTCAAATACCTACTCCATTAACACCTCATCTCAAAATTTAGAAATCTTTAAGCTTTGTTAGAAATGTTAGAACTGATAAACTTACTTTTTTTATTGGCTCATACAGCAACATATTTTAATTTTAAAAATGTTTTATTAAACAGTCTTAGGGTTCTTTTTAGTTTCAGTAACAACATTCATCATTTAAAAAATAATTAATGTTTAATCTATTACGTTTTATCATGGCACTTCTATACTTCTTGTACAAATTTTTGAGAACATACATTTTTAAACATTTCATTGTGGAAGAAAATGTTTTATAAAAAGTTTGTATAAAAGTCGCATAAATATTATTAATTCTTGGTCAAAGATTAAGGAAATACTAGATTTTTTAAATGTCATGGAATTAGATCATAAGAAAAACATTATTCAGCAGCAAATATCAATTATGTCTTTAAAGCTTACTGGAAAAAAAAATTAAAACCAGATACAATTATACGTAGTTTTCAATATTTTTTAACATCTCGTTCTTAATACAATAAAGTAAGAAATGATTTTCATTTGCGATCAGTTAGTACTTTAACACGAATAACATAAAAATTTTGCAAAATTGATTATGCTATTTTCTTAGACTCAATTTTCAAAAATATTGAAGCAAAAC